CTAGGGATTTCACACATCTGCTGGCAAAATCTGGCGGAAGTGACCTGTGTACCAGCAAAACACCTGTAAGTACCGCATGAAAACAAGGGCTAGGGATTTCACACATCTGCTGGCAAAATCTGGCGGAAGTGACCTGTGGTCCTGTAATACCGAGTTAAAACAAGGGCCAGGGATTTCACACATCTGCTGGCAAAGTCTCGCGGAAGTGACCTGTGGTCCAGCAAAACACCTGTAAATACGGCGTGAAAACAAGGGGTAGGGATTTCACACATCTGCTGGCAAAATCTGGCGGAAGTGACCTGTGGTCCAGCAAAACACCTGTAAATACCGCGCTAAAGCAGGGGCTAGGGATTTCACACATCTGCTGGCAAAATCTGGCGGAAGTGACCCGTGGTCCAGCAAAACACCTGTAAATACCGCATGAAAACAAGGACTAGGGATTTCACACATCTGCTGGCAAAATCTGGCGGAAGTGACCTGTGGTCCAGCAAAACACCTGTAAATACAGCATGAAAACAAGGACTAGGGATTTCACACATCTGCTGGCAAAATCTGGCGGAAGTGACCTGTGGTCCAGCAAAACACCTGTAAATACCGCGTGAAAACAGGGGCTAGGGATTTCACACATCTGCTGGCAAAATCTGGCGGAAGTGACCTGTGGTCCAGCAAAACACCTGTAAATACCGCATGAAAACAAGGGCTAGGGATTTCACACATCCGCTGGCAAAATCTGGCGGAAGTGACCTGTGGTCCAGCAAAACACCTGTAACTCAGATCCGAAAACCATAGATCGCAAGGGGTGTCACCCTAAGGGTTTTTGTAATAAATATGTTTCAAAAACACGAATATGTGTCATCTTTTCCGCCTTACTCCTACTACTACTGCAACTGCGACTGCTACTTCTCCTACTACGACTAGTTTAGAGTCCTCACGATCCTCGTACAATGCCCCATAAACGCCCCACGCTACCTAGGTTTTTTCTGTGGAGCTGGGGCGGGGGCTGGGTGAGGCTGGGCAGGTGGTTGGGTGGGCCGGCTGGGCCTGGAGGGGGTGTGGGTGCTGGGGCTGGGGGTCTAGGGGCTGGGGCTGAGGCTGGGGCTGGAAGCTGGGCGCAGGCCTTGTAGGACTGGGCCGGGGCGCAGGGCCTGGGGCTGAGGCTTGGGGGCACTGCGGGCTCGGCACTGGGGCTGGGTCGGAGGCTGGGGGCTGGGGCTGGGGTCGGAGGCTGGGGGCTGGGGCTGGAGCTGAAGATTTAAATTTTTAAAATTCTTTAAATTCTTTAAATTTTTAATTCCGGACGATTTCAAAATTTAAAGAATTTAAAGGATTTACACCCTTTAAGTTTTTTAAATTCTTTAAATTTTTAATTCCGGACGATTTCAAAATTTAAAGAATTTAAAGGATTTACACCCTTTAGATTTTTTAAATTCTTTAAATTTTTAATTCCGGACGATTTCAGAATTTAAAGGATTTACAACCTTTAAATTTTTTAAATTCTTTAAATTTTTAATTCCGGACGATTTCAAAATTTAAAGAATTTAAAGAATTTAAAAAATTTAATTCCGTGGGCTGGGGTCGGAGGCTGGGGGGCTGGGGCTGGAGCTGGAGCTGGACATTTAAATTTTTACAATTCTTTAAATTCTTTAAATTCTTTAAATTTTTGATTCCGGACGATTTCAAAATTCAAAGAATTTAAAGGATTTACTCCCTTTAAATTTTTTAAATTCTTTAAATTTTTAATTCCGGACGATTTCAAAATTTAAAGAATTTAAAGAATTTAAAAAATTTAATTCCGTGGGCTGGGATCGGAGGCTGGGGGGCTGGGGCTGGAGCTGGAGCTGGACATTTAAATTTTTAAAGTTCTTTAAATTCTTTAAATTTTTAATTCCGGACGATTTCAAAATTTAAAGAATTTAAAGGATTTACTCCCTTTAATTTTTTAAAATTCATTAAATTTTTAATTCCGGACGATTTCAGAATTTAAAGGATTTACCCACTTTAAATTTTTTAAATTCTTTAAATTTTTAATTCCGGACGATTTCAGAATTTAAAAGATTTACCCCCTTTAAATTTTTTAAATTCATTAAATTTTTAATTCCGGACGATTTCAGAATTTAAAGGATTTACTCCCTTTAAATTTTTTAAATTCTTTAAATTTTTAATTCCGGACGATTTCAGAATTTAAAGAATTTAAAGAATTTAAAAAATTTAATCCCGTGGGCTGGGGTCGAAGGCTGGGGGGCTGGGGCTGGAGCTGGAGATTTAAATTTTTTAAATTCTTTAAATTCTTTAAATTCTTTAAATTCTTTAAATTTTTAATTCCGGACGATTTCAAAATTTAAAGAATTTAAAGGATTTACCCCCTTTAAATTTTTTAAATTCTTTAAATTTTTAATTCCGGACGATTTCAGAATTTAAAGGATTTACACCCTTTAAATTTTTTAAATTCTTTAAATTTTTAATTCCGGACGATTTCAAAATTTAAAGGATTTACCCCCTTTAAATTTTTTAAATTCTTTAAATTTTTAATTGCGTATACACACAGTATATATTAAGACACAGAGCAAGCCCTACGCCAAATAGGACCTAAAGGTCCTACGTACAAACCCTTATAGATCCCTTTAAAGGAAGCCTAGCTTGGCTGAAACTACCCCAAACCCTAAACCCTTATAGATCCCTTTAAAGGAAGCCTAGCTTGGCTGAAACTACCCCAAACCCTAAACCCTTATAGATCCCTTTAAAGGAAGCCTAGCTTGGCTGAAACTACCCCAAACCCTAAACCCTTATAGATCCCCTTAGAGGAAGCCTAGCTTGGCTGAAACTACCCCAAACCCTAAACCCTTATAGATCCCTTTAAAGGAAGCCTAGCTTGGCTGAAACTACCCCAAACCCTAAACCCTTATAGATCCCTTTAAAGGAAGCCTAGCTTGGCTGAAACTACCCCAAACCCTAAACCCTTATAGATCCCTTTAAAGGAGGCCTAGCTTGGCTGAAACTACTGAGTCGCCAGCAGTTTAAGCATCCGATGCCATTCGCGTCACCGACACTTCGTTCGGCAAGGACTGGGCAGTTTGGGATCGCATCTTTGCATGCGACTTCTTTGCAGACGTCTAGGGGGAGCTCTGTCGAGTTGCAGCTTTCGGCTTGCAATTGGGGAGGAGATGCGAACCCTGAAGCCTGCCGAAGTCAAGGACTCAAGCTCGCCTACCACGAAACTACTATTCTGTGGTTTTGGGGCTCCCTTGGCTCCTTGACTCCTTATTCAAAAGGGACTATCATCATCCCTGGCTCCTGAGCTCCTCCAATATCAACGGTTAGACTACGACGAGACTGCAAGCTGTAGAGACTTTGGCTGCGCACTGAAAAAGGCCAGAGAGGTGCAGTCGAGCTTTGGTCCCTAAATAGCCGCCATGTGGGTTTGGGGTTTAGGGCTTCTAAATGCCGGCTTAAGGGCAGAAAGGGGTGCACGGATGTTTCTTTTACGAGGCCGATACAATGTCCCTGCGCCCACAACCACATTGTCGCTCTCCGTCGCTGTACTTTACGCTGAAGTGAAACGGCTTAGGGTTCAGGGTATACTGACTCGGAAGCTCACTCATATGCCATTCTTTTTGTGACAACAGGATCTGAAAGACACGAAGCAAGGAAAGCAACATCTGCAACGCTGACAACGGCAATCAGCGAATGCGACGACGCAGGACTAGCATCGCGGGCGATGATAGTAGGACAGCGGCCAGCACGATCTTGACTTCGAGGCTTAGCACCCAAAACCCTAAGCCGTGGCTCCAAAAAGGTTAAAACCCCTGAACCTTGAACCCCAAACACTAAACCCCTAAACCCTTCAACCCTAAACCCTAAACCCCTACACCCCTGAACCCTAAACCCCTAAACCCTGAACCCTAAACCCTGCAACCCTGAACTCGCTTCTCAAAGCCCCTGGGCCCCATACCGGCGATGGTTTCATGGGCGAATCTGACCAGGGCAGGATCGTGCTTAGGGGTTTCGGGTTTAGGGTTTAGGGGTTTGGGTTTAGAGTTTAGGGGCTTTTGGGGTTCGAGGGCTCAAGGGTGAAGGGGTCTAGCGATTGAGGGGTTTAGGGGTTTTGGTGGGTTTAAGGTTTGGGGGCTTCGGGCTGGGGTTTAGGAAATCGCCAAGTGCATGGAAGGCACCGACATTGACAAAGACGAAGCAAGAGACAGCAGCAGCACTGTTTGATGATGGCAATGCCACGAAAGAGAACTCCAAACCGTCAAAACCCTGAACCCTAAACACCTAAACCCTAAACACCTAAACCCTAAACCCTCAACCCTAAACCCTAAACCCTAAACACCTTAACCCTAAACTTTGTGATCCAAGCCTCAGAAAGAACAAGTCTACTGTGCTTAGATCCTGTTTCTTGCATGTTGTAGCTCTTGCAGAGCTTGTATATATAGGTATATGTAGATATGTACGTGTGTGTATATGTATTTATATATGTAATATAGATGTGTATGTATGTATGTATGTCGGGTAGGTAGGTAGGTAGGTAGGTAAATTACACCTAAACCCAACAGTAAGCCGGCATGTGCACATGTATGTAGATGCTTTCGGCTGTATGCACATATGCAAAGGTCTATGCTCATACATATATATCTATATACCTATATGTATATATATATATATACATACATACATACACATATATACGTATGCATTGTATGCATGCGCAGGCTTGGGATCACAATCACTTATACATGCACATTTGCACACAGCTACTGATAGCCCCCATAGAAGCCCCTGGAGCTCGCACCTCCAAGATTCGGCAGAGATCGGCGGCGCTGCGTCTCGTTGAGCCAAGGATGCGACAGAGCGTCCTGGAGTGTCTTGGCCTTACATAGGGTTTTCCTTTTTGGGCCTTTAGGGTTTCGGGTTTGGGCCTTGAGGGCGTGGGGCTTTAAGGTTTTCGGATATATAGTACTTAAGGGTTTAGCAGAGTTTGGGGCTTATACAAGCTTCAAGGTTTCAGGCATTGCAGATGTGGTCTCTAGATACTTGGGAGCACTCACAGATGAAGCTAGGCTCCCCAGCAACCCATTAATAATAAGACTACCTTTTCCTAGTATTCTGTCTTAATAAGGAAACCCCCGAAGTAAAACGGGCATCGGGATACTACTCAGAAACCCTAGAAGTGTTCTTCTTCAGGCCTGGTCCACGATTTCGTGCTTTTCCGCAGCTTCCAAGCGTTCTGGGTTCGATGTCGACTCCGGGCGCTTGAGCTTCTGCTTTTCAGGCTTCCTGTTGAGGGTTCCGTTGGAGAGTTCCTACTCGTGAGGGTGGTTTAAGGTTTCCTTATAGGGTTTCCAGAAAGGTTCCGTAAGGGATCTATAAGGCTTTCTAGGGCTCTGAGATTCACGGGTTTGCTATTTCTTTGCAAGGGCTGCAGACTCTCAGGGGGGGTAGATCTCCAGCCCACTTGAAGGCTCATGGGACTTAGTAAGTAAGGTTATAAGTAGGTCATAATAAGGATAACCCCACTTAGGGGACTTATAACCCCAATTATAACCTACTTACTAAGTCCCATGATCCTCTAAGCAGTGGCTTCAACACATTGAAGGTAGGATCCACGCAAGAAGCTAGCCAAGCGCCACGATCTTCTTATACTGAACTTAGAACCCTAGCAAAAAAATAATTTTAGCTGTTTCTTAGGGATTATAATAACCAACACTTTGAAAAATACTTCTAAGTACCCCTAAGCTTAATGTTTTCCATGTTCAGCTTTGCTGAACTCCAGGTGGTTCACGCACACCAACAGAAGTTCCCACAAGCTGGATGCATCCGAACCAGAGACGCTGCACAAACAAGCAGATGGATCAAGGACCATCATCAAAAGGAAAGTGCCGGTATCTGAACCTGTGCCTCGCCAGACACTAAACCCCGGGCTTTTCAAAATGTACGTGCTTGGGCGGGTCCTTTGCAGTGGGTCTTGCCGTCTCGTTCGTCGCCAGCATTCCCTTGATCAGGTTGCACGCCTTCATCCACACAAAGAGCTAATTTACAAGCCTAGTAGTTACAAATGTCATTCCTGAAGGTTCTGTAGTATCTATATTCATACCATAACCCCCCCCCCCCAAACCCCAGTCTAGTTCTTAAGGTGTGTATTTATACTCGACCCATGCAGTATCCCTCAGAAACCACTAGAAGACATCTGACGTGCTGGGAATCGGACTTTGGCAGGTTTAGCTGGGTTGTGCTTTAAACCCTTTGAAAATTATCTATGAATAGGTTCCCTTTTGAAAATTATCTATGAATAGGTTCCCTTATAAGGAAATTATCTATGAATAGGTTCCCTTATACGGAAATAATTTAGGGAAGTTGAAAATTATCCCAAAGCACAACCCAGTTAGGTGATCGACCGCATTGTGCTGGGGGAGCAAATTCAAGTGCGGTAGCTGACACCCAGTGCGATGCAGCAGGGGCGACCAGATGTCGGCGCACTCAGATCGGATGTAACGGAAGGTACGAAAAGCACAGCGTGGAGGGCGGGATGGAAGCGCTTCGAACTTTGGGCTTCAGACGTGTTTGATTTGGAACCTTTGGAGTCTATCTACAAGGCGAAAACATCGCAGGCTGAAGCTTGGAGTTCGGGGTTCATGGCTTCCTCTTCCCTAAAGCTCCATGTGCCAATATAGTATATACTTAGGCCTAAAAGTACCTATATAGGGACCCCTTCAAGGCTGAAGTATCTACTATAAAGGTACATGGAGCCTTTGGGCTTTGCAAGTCTTCAGCTCCGCAACCACTCGCCTCGAATCATCACCGCATCATTGCATGAACGACTTCTGACACTTCCACATCTTGCAGGCCTAAACCCAAAACATCGGGACTCCAATATCTCGCAATTCAGGAGTATACCTTGAATCATACCTGGGATCCCTAACAAGCTTTAAGGTATATTCCTGAATTAAGGGGCATGGAGTCTCTGGGAACCCTTCACCCTATACCCTACACATCCCTTAAAGGAACCCTATAGATCCCGTCTAGATCCCTTAAAGCAACCCTATACCCTAAATCCTATAAACTATGCCATTGCCCAGGGTGAGCTGTTCCTCTCTCCAAAGGCGAAGATAAGATTGGCACGACGGACTCAGGGTCCGCAACTAACAACTTACGAAGTCGTGCAGCTCGGAGGGCCCTCAAGATAACATCACAAAAACACACCAAAACAGAGTCTGATCTAGGAAAGCATGCTGGATATCACTGAATATACTTATCTGCTAAATCCCATCGTTCCCCTTCGCACCTGTGGCTCAATGCTGAAAATCCGATGGTTCCAGTCGATCTTATAGTTGCAGAGCTTCTGCCGGATCTCCTGCGCACCATGGTAAAACAGCAACGCCCTAAACCCTGGACCAAAAAACAAAAACCCAAAGCTCAAAGGCTTAAACCCTAAACCATAAACCTTAAGACCCAAAGCCCCGCAAACTTTAAACTTTGAGCCCTAAACTTTGTCGGGTTGGACACGTGGCAGCCTGAGATATTCTGGCTGAAAGCTTTGAAAGAAACACCATTGTCAATTTTTCGGGCCGTCATGTCTGAGGTGTGCGAGCACGGGACTCTAGGGCTAAGCTGTCGCTGCAGCTATTTAGGTGAACGAGAAAAGTGAGGCTTCCATGAAACCCTGCGTAGCTCTAAGTCTAGGCAGGGCCTATAAGTAATATACCGTAGTTCCCATGTCTAGGGTCATTAAGGTAAGTAATGCTGGATGCATAGCATCAACCGTAAGTCCCCTGGGAGTGCAGCCAGTCAGTCCTTCATCTTGGGAGAGCCGACCCAGTTGTCGCCAGCCTGTTGTGACGCCCCTCTTGGGCTTTGTAATATGTCGGCCTTAATAATGGGGCCAATTATAATAAGGAACCCCCCGCAAAAAATATGCATGTTATTGATTATCAAGGCCCCTACATTAGGGATTTAGAGCCTAAGGTTTCAGGATTTGTATTGCGTATAAGGTCTGTGTCCGACGTTGAAATTTTGTCATACTTTGAAGGGACGTGGTTTCACTAAGCCCGCAACTTTGCAGGCTTTGCGGTTGATAAGGCAAAGGCTTCGGGCCTTCTTGAGTGAGAACCTAAAGACCTGTCAAGCCGTGCGGTAGAGGCACTTGTTCAAGCGCTACCTGTAACACGACGACCACCACCTGCGTGGCGGCCCCAGCCCCAGCACCAGCAGCACCGATGAACCATTATGTTACATTCGATCGAGGTATGTTGCTACATGTGAGGCACTTCTTGCTTCTGTACTGGTGCTTTTGTGATTGCTGCTAAAGTCTATTGCTTCTCGTTGCTGCCGCCGCTGATGCTGCTGTTCCTACTCATTGTGTAACTTGCTATTGTGGTTTCTATGTCGTGGTACTCGTGGATGTACTACCACTCGACTCCACAGAGTTCTTGTAAGGTAGTTAACCGCAGAGTGACGTCTGACGACACCAGGCAGCACAGAAAAGACACCAACCAGCCAATGATAGCCTGGAACGGACACAAATGACGACGACGCCTGCACCAAGAAAACGTATATACTAAACATTAATCACATATAGGCTACTTTGAGAAACACGTCCAGGTAATAAAGCATGGTACTCCAGAACCCAAACACAGCAGCACCAACAAGAACGGCACTGACTTTCAAACACTCGGCATCGCAGCGCTGGTAGTCGCAGCCTGGCTTGCCAGTAGCCTATATTGCCTCCATAAACAAAATGTGGGCCTTGACAATTGGAACAGAGCTTTGGCGGGGTATGGAATAGTGAAATTATAATCATGAGCCCCCAAACTAGTATTGGTCACAATCTAGGCTGGTATATACTTGCAGCCCCGTAGAAACCTCAAAAGGGCATGTATCTTCTTCGTGGTTACTCCTTAGCAGCCTTACTTGGAGGATCAGAGGACTTTGTAAGTAAGGCTATAAGTCCCCTAATTGGGGTTGTAGGTAGTTATAAGTATAGTTACTTTATTTATAACCCTAGTTACTATAAGTCCCATGATCCTTTAACTAGCTAGCAGAGGCGCGGCTGCTCGCCTCGTCATCGAAGATGTCAGCCTTATATGGGAACTTGCTCGTCAGCAGCCTGATCCCAGGGCGTTGCTTGATCTTGGGCAGTTCTGGCGTTTCTCCAAGGGTAAAAGGAGGGACCCTTAATAAGGACCCCTAGGTTTTTACCCTTAATACAGCTATTCTATACCAATTATATAGCCCATTATAGGGTAGGGGTCCCCATTAAGGGTCCCTCCGTTTCCCCTTTGAGTTTCGCATCATTAGTGTTGAGAGTGAAGGGCTTGGTCCCACCTGCCTGAAGCCGACCTGGAGGATCTGGGGACGTAGCAAGTAAGCTTACAAGTACCTTCATTGAGGTAATAAGTAGTTACAAGTATCGTTACCTTGTTTATATCCCTGACTACTAAATCACATGACTAATTGAGGAAAATCTCACCGACTACGAAGACTGCGCCCTCACAGGCCTTTTGCAAACTCTGAGACCTAGGCGCTTCTGAAAGTGTCGGAACACAAAGTCATGTCCCCGCGGATGGGCTGCCATAGGGGTTGTACCAATAGAGAGGGTTTTGAGGTATAGTATGCGGTTACCATAACAAGGAACCGCCCAAAACAACATTACTTACTTCTTCAGGCTTTTATATCGGGTCGCCTGTAGCCAATAACACCGACGGCAAAGATGTCCGATGCGGCCGAGTAGTTGCCATCGTAGGCCTCAAAAAGAAAGGGGGGGGTGCTCTTCAACATTAGGGATGGGAGTTCGCTGTAGGCAAATAAACCCGTTCTTTCGGAGTCAGTATAACAAAATCCCCTAAGGAATACACATTTCAGCTATTCAGCTTCCATTTAACTATAGGGGCCATACTAGTTAGAGGAGGAGTCAAGCCGGTGAGGGAGACTGTGATTTGATTCGAACTCTCATGCAGCCATAGTTCTGATCTCAGGACCTGGAGCACCAAAACTAAACCGCTAATTCTTGCCTGTAGCCGGAAAGACCTACCTTTTTGCCGTTCCTTACTATGGTTTCTATATATAGTTCCTGGAAAAGGGTAGGTCTTTTGGGCCACAGGTAAGTTTAGAGCGCATGAACAAAACCTATACTAGAAGCAACAGTTGGAAGAATTGCAACAACATGGCCTCCTGGGCGATGTACTGGTCAGTTCCCAAGACATCCTGCGCTGATCTCGGGATGGGGGATGTGGATGCGAGGTGCCGTGCACAGACATTGTGAGACGGAGCCACTCTGCATACTGCTCCCTGCCAGTAGACCTTCACGCAACACCACTTGTTTAGCATACTTCTTCCTCCGATAGCCCGAAACCCTACACCCATAAACCCCTAAAGCCCCAATATCCTGTGCTATAAAACATATATATATATATATATATATATACATGTCAGAATATCATAATTCCCTAAACCCTAGAACCCCAATAACATGTAATACTGTAGTACAATCTATCACAATACGACAAACCCCATAAAACCCTAAAGCCACAATAACATCTAACATTATATGTCAGAATATGATAAACCCCTATATAAGCCCAAAAAAACAAAAGTACGTAATTATAAAAATTCAGAATAATATGATAAGCCCCTAAACCCCCAAACCTAATAGTATGTAACTTAATATTTCAGAATATGATAAAAGCCCCTAGACCCCCCCAAAAAAATAGACTTTCAATATAATTTTTCAGACTATGATATGAACCCCTAAAGCCCAAAAAATATAATATTTCAGAATATGATGTAGACCCCTGTAAACCCCAAAACCCCAATAGTATGTAATTATACTATCTCAGAATATGACAAAAATACTTAAAAAACACAAGACCAACAACAGTATGTAATTAGAATGTATTACAGAATATGACAAAAAACAATATATTTTCTTAAAGCAGCTCTCAGCGCCGGCCGCCCAGCCTTCGCCTTCTTGGGGGTTTGGGGCTGAACGGTCTCCACGGTATCGAAGTCGATGAGCTTTACCTTGCAGGGCACAGCTTTAGGGTTTCTCTTGTAGAAGTTACTATACATATGGGTGGTTGTCAAAACTATGGTCCCTTTTGGGGTCCCGAATATAGTACGGCACCTAATATTTAGGGTACCCCAAAAAAGGGCCATAATTTTGACAACCATCCGTATGCTTGCGCACGTATCCCCCGAAAAGATGAGCTTTACCCCCGATGTGATGGGTTTAGGGTTCAGGGTTTAGTAGGAACAGGGTTTAGGGCTTAGTAGGAATAAGGCTTAGGGCTTCGGGTTTAGGGTTTAGTAGGAACAGGGTTTATTGCTTAAGGTTTAGTAGGAATCGGGTTTAGGGCTTAGCATTTAGAGCTTTACCTCCGATGTCGCACTCAGAAACTACCCTCCCCAGCTGTTGCATTTCACGAACGGTAGGGCTGAGGGTTTAGGTTCAGTGCTTCGGGTTTACGGTTCAGGGTTTAGGGTTTACGACGTGATCGTGCTGGCATCGTGGTTCCAGGGCAGGCAGTGAATGCTTTATCTGGATGCGGCAGCGGGCTTCCAGTGGTCCGATTGGTCCATACTCTACGCCCATGATGAATATGTCCAAATGGACCGGGTAAGCAGCATTCTGTCTTCTTTTAAGTTCGCTGGCGCAGCTAAAACCTGTCAAGACTCATATAGTTCAGCAGGCTTCTTCACTCGAAGTTCCGACAAAACGGAAACCTCCAGTCCACAAAACACAGCATGCCTCTGGTTTCTGCCCGCATTTCCCCAAATGTCCTTCTGGGAATTTCTCTACGGTTACCGGATGAAACGGAGACCTTAACAAGTAATGGACACACTAGAAGGACATGGACGTAACGGATGATAGTACGACATCTCCCGACCCCTAATTATACTAAAGTGTAAATCTTAAACACTCAACTCGCAACCCTAAACCATATAGCCCTATCATAAGCCCCGAAAACTTCTTAACATCTCTTCACCCCAAGCACCCCCCCTCCCCCCCTCCGCCTTCACTGGAGATTGGTCCCCACCCATGAAGCTGGCCCAGTCGACCTTGGCATTCGCTGGCGGCGTCCTGCTGAGATCTCCGATCTTCCCAAGACTGACAGCTACAAGTCATCACAGGCATTGTTTGGGTTTAGGGTGTAGGGTTTTCATGGTATAGACAATTATTTCGGCCCCTATACTACGCCAACCCAAAACCCCTCACCTAAAGGGCCCGTGGGGACTTCAGGCTTTCGGGGCTTGGGGTTCAGGAGCTAGGGGCTTAGGGGCTTAGGGGTTTAGGGTTCAGGAGCTAGGGGGGGTGGGGGTTTAGGGGTTTAGGGTTCAGGAGCTAGGGGGGTTAGGGGTTTAGGGTTTTTATGCTAACGCAGGAACGCAAAGTGAAATCCGATGCGAAAGAAAATGGAATCCTACACAAGCACATCCAGCTGCAAAGTCCTGTCAAACATGATGTTCTCCAGCTTCAAGTCCTGACCAGTGTAATTAGCAGTGAAGGCATCATGGAACCCATTCCCCTTTCGTAGAATATGCGCTTTTACAAGGTCTGTGTAGCAAGAGTCGATCCTCTATACCCTACACCCTAGAAGGATCCTGAATCCGAAACCCTAGACAGATCCTAAACCCTGTTAAACATGTCCTGAACCCCAGACCCTAAAGAGATCCTAAACCCCCATCATGTTTAGTGCTTGTGGAATGGATGGCAGCGAATGTCCGGTCTACAGGGTTGAGATTCCTAAACTCCTTAAAAGCGCGCTTCGAACCATAATGCTGAGGATACTAGATATACAAGGGTACTGTAAGGGTACCATCAGGGTATCAAGCATACGATAAGGGTATAAGGGTGCCACGGCCACAAGCAGACTAAATATCTAAGGCCAACAAGTCTAGGGTCTCCCTCTGGCTATCTAAGAATAGACATCATATGGTTACTGCTTACTATCCTTCAGACTTTGAATAGACTCAAGAGTCTGAACAGATCTCCTAAGATTGAAAGAAACAGAAAATAAGTCTAGGACTATGGATATTGAGAAGCAAAACATAAAGCCAATAGCACACTGAAGAAACCAGAGCATCCCTATCGCTGGACTCGACGCCGGAACTGTCACTTGCCTCCCCTACCCTACACTACCATAACCTGCTTTGTTGAAGTTCATATGGTGCGATAAACACTGTTGTAGAATTTATAGCAGCCCAAAGGGTGCTAAGTACCTACATCGTAGAAAGTAAGGTTTGTAGAATTGAAAACATACATATTATATATACATATATAATAGTATATATATATATATATATATACACCGTTGTGGTGTGGGTCAGTATCCCCCATATAAGTATAAGCACTTGGGGACTTCGATAACCTGCCTTTCGTAGGCTGCTTGATGATAAACCCCAACCCGTCTAGTAATTAAACCAAATACGATGAACAAACACCCTGAAAGTCGAAATCGAAGCCGTCAATCTTCAGTTACGGTTGAAGTTTAATGCTTAGGTTTGGGGTTTAGGGTACGTACCGTAAACCTAAACCCTAAACCCAAAGACAAGTCCTTGGTTCTGGTAGGGAATGGGGGCATGGATCCCCACTATCGTAGCCCCTCAACGTCCCCAATATAGTCCTTGTATCCTATTCCTCCATTCCCTACTTGGAGGGGCAGGGGACCTAGTAAGTCGGCTATAAGTAGAGTTATAAGTAGCCTAAATGGAGTTACCCCAATTAGAACCCTACTCATAACCTACTTACTAAGTCCCCTACCCCTTACGTAGACCCTAAACCCTAAACCCAATAGATCCCTTTAAGAAACCCTACAGATCCCTGTAAGGAACCCTACAGATCCCTTTAAGGAGCCCTTAAAAGGGATATTAAGAACCAGGGAGACGAAGCCAAGAGCTCCAGGCCTTGTGGATGCAGTTGCGAGCGTGGAGCTCTGCTAGAGCCTTCGATTCGAGATAGCGACTCCCTTACTTTTAAACCCTGATAGATCCCTTCAAGGAGCCCTTATAGATCCCTTAGAGGATCCCTATCATGGTAACTTAAACTAAAATCCTCAACCAGAACCCAGAACTTACCTTTGGTTAGTAGGGAATGGAAGGGGGCCTTAACAAGGGGTCTACTAGGGTTACTATAAGGGATCTATAAGGGTACTGTAATACAGGGGCCTTGATAATCCTATAACTTACCTTCGGGTGAGTAGGGAATGGAGGAATGGGGTACAATTATAACTACAATTACTACCATTCTTCCATTCCCTACTAACCAAAGGTAAGCTCAAGCAGGATGGCGTGGTCGGTAGGGTTTAGGGTTTCAGGCGAATGGCTTGGGGTTGAGGGTTTAGGATCTAGGGTATATGGTCTGTATCGGCCGAAAATTGGCAGTTAGGGCTCAGGGCTTGGGGTTTGGACCCTAATTAAACCCTGCCGATTTAGGGTTTGGGGTTTAGGGTTTATAAGCTTAGGACCGAAGCCCTAACCCGTAGTTTCGAGTGATTTTCCGTGCAGCATCAGCAAAATTAGGACAGGGTCGCAACATCCGGAGTTATGGGACCAATGTTTCCAGGCTCCCTGAAGGCGTCTTTTGGCGCAAACCTAACCGAAACAAGCACCCTTGTAGAACCCTCGTCGAACCTTCAACCCGAACTGAAACCCCTAACCCCCCTAAAACACCTAAACCCCTGAAACCCCATCCTCTTAGGGACCCTTACGAGGAACCCAGCAAAAAAATGGCCTGGAGTAGCTGTCGCATGACCTCCTTCACCTCAGCAATGGGCAGCAAACCTGGCCAAGGACTTCTGGGCCTAGGGTTTAGTTCGAGGGTTTGGGTTTAGGGGTTTAGGGTTTAGGGATTTAAGGTTTAGGGATTTAGGGTTTAGGGTTTGTATGTGGTAGTATGGAGAATTGATTACAGAATTAGAGTCCAGGGTTTTGGTTTAGGGTTTAGCTTAGGGTTTAGGGTTTAGGGATTCAGGGTTTAGGGTTTGTATGTGGTAGTATGGAGAGTTACAGAATTAGAGGTTAGGGTTTGGGGTTTAGGGTTTAGTTTAGGGTGTAGGGGTTTAGGCTTGAGGGTTTAGGGGTTTGGTTTAGGGTTTAGTTTCGGGTTCAGGGGTTTGGGTCAGGGCTTAGTTTCGGGTTTCTAGACCTAAGAGTAACCTAGGAATAAAAAGGGTGCCCTTTTTGGTTTAAAGGGTGTTAGAAGGGAACCTAAACCCTAAAAAAAGGGAATAAGGGCCTACTCCAGGTCCTAGGTTTATAGGGTTTGAGGCTTAGTGTTTTCGTGGCAAACCTGGTGAAGGACACTTCTTGTCATCCTAGGCTGTGGGGTTTAGGCGTAAGGTGATAAGGATTACTACAAGGGTTTTAAACAGGTAGGGTTTTGAGTCGTGTATGGTGTCATAATTACATGGTGCCGGTTTTTGTACGTACGGATTATGGAATACCTAAATACGCAGATTTTATACTACCTCCGCTGGCTTCGGGCTCGCACCCCTCCAACCTCTCTCCACCCTCCGGGGGCCTAGTGGGCGAGGGGGTGGAGCTGTGAATAGGTGGAGAGGGGTGGAAAGTCTAGGGAGTGGAGGGGTGGATTTTCAAGCTACGATCAAAGAGCACTGTTGTACTGCCTCCCTGGACCCGGGGGGGGTTTGGCCGCCCTCCACTTCTTTCAAACCTTCACCGTGCAATGGGTAGACACATGGCGAAGGAGTTCTCGTCGTCCCATTACTGCTAATATTTTGGGTCCAGGCTTTAGATTTAGAGCTTGTGCCTGGGGGGCTTGGGGTTTGTATGTGGCTTAATTACCGACTCTCTGAAGAGCACCAAACCGCCAAAGTTGAAGACGTCCCTTGCCTCCGATTTTTCATAGGGCTTCTGATGATGAGGATCTCGAGACACATCTCGACCCTTACACTTCACCCGAGCTTCAAGCTACAGTCCGAGTCTTCCGGATTTGGGGGGGCATTGAAACGCATCTCTAAGAGCGTTTGAAGTGATGTGGAAAGCTCTCGTCACCCTGCCTTTGCCCGTCATGGTCTCGAAGAGATCCTCAGCGCAAGAGGAAAATACAGCGATTCGCAGAGGTAGCGCTAAGCGACATGTTTCGATGTCGATATCCTACGGCGACGACTTCTCTTGGTTAGTCTGCGAAAACATCAGCAATTTGCTCGTCTTGGGGGTTAACAGCATGATCGGGCTTTGCACATCAGGGGGGACTACCGTACAAGTGCTGCGACGGCTTGTTCAATGTTCAGTCTGTCTGTCGGCAGAGCACTTTGCGAGGCTCGAAACAGCAAAGTGTTCCTCTTCCTATCTTTTGATTGCAGGATGATGAGCCACGGGGCGAGTACGGCTGGCCTTGACTTACCTAGAGATCACGGAAAAGAGACAACCTCTCCCCAAGCTCCACAACCTGCCTGGCCGGCCACCTTCTCCATGATGACGTAGTAGCCCTTCTTATCCTCCAGCACCTCGCAGGCGGCGGGTAGCACTTTACTTGGAATCTGCAGTGAAGTATGTTGGCCTCAAGACGATGCAGTGAGTTGGAGTTACAGTAATGCTCACATCTGCGAAGTTAAACCAAAGCTCTTGAGAGATGGAAAACTCACAGCAAACAGGGGCACATGTCAAAAGCCGCAAACCCCAAACCTCCAAACCCTACAACAGCCCGAGATAGTCCGCGAGTCGAAGCCCATCCTGAATCTGAAGTGGGAAGCTTCGTGACAGGAGTCGGAGAGTGATGATTCTACCCCATTCCTCCATTCCCTACTAACCAAAGGTAAGCCAGAGTATGGATGTTGAGTTGTGGTCTTCTGTTCTGGCGAGGGAGCGACTTCCCAGGCTAGACGATGCAAATTTCCTCCACCGGTTCTTTGTCATCTAAACGCTTTGTAGGCGGGTAACTCTAAGAAACCAGTCTTGCCAGGGTTCCTTATTGTCATTGTCTTGTATAGGTCCATAATTTAATAAGTTTCTTAGGGCTTAAGTGTCTAAGGTTCAGGGTTATGCCACCAATCAGCCCTGAAAACCTCCCAGCCCACGCCCTGCCCTACACCCCACGCCCTAGACAGCTTCATCCTCGAACAGTCGCACTTGGCAGGGGCCCCTCCACATGAAGCAAACAAGCATAGGCACAGCGAGACACACACACACAAGCCTTTGAATACTGAACTCGAAATGGGGGCTTCCGAAGATAGGGGACCAGAATATAGTACCCTAAATAGTAGGATCATTATTGTAAGGACCCCAAAATAAGGTACCCCTAATTTTCGGCAACTCCCAAACGGAGCCCTGGAAAAAGGCGTAAACCCTAAGAAGAACCCTACGTCCGAACTACTAAACGCTCAGCCCTACACCCCAAACCCTAAACTAAACTGAGCCCTAAACCCTCAGACCCCAAAACCCTGAACCTTCTAGAAACCTTTTCGATCCCTTGAAAGGAAATCCTAAACTAAACCCTAAACTCTGAACCCTTTTCGATCCCTTGAAAGGAAATCCTAAACTAAACCCTAAAGCCTGAATCCCTTGTTCGGGACCTCGTAGAGCTTAGCGATGCCTTCGGTCTCGGGGAGGTTCAACATGAACTCCGTGTTATAGCGCCACTCCTGTCATAAGGGAGTTTCCGAAAATTAAGGATACCTTACTTTGGCGTCCTTACATTCAGGATCCTACTATTTAGGGTACTGTATTAAGGTCCCCTGTTTTCGGAAACTCCCATAAGGCCACAGCTGGACCCTGAAAAAACCAGCCTTTTTCCGGCCTTGTATAAGGCAGTCATGAGAAAGAGCCCTAAAAATAGCTTTTGAAAAGACTGATGCTCGGAAGGAATCTTGCTACTTCGGTTTAGGGTGTTCATTGATGAAGCCGCCGAGAGGCTTTAGATAACAACACACACACACACTGGCACATACGTGCTTACACAAGCATACCAATGCGGCTGTGCAGAGTTAAGCAAGAACATTCATACCATCTGCATGTCCGGTGTGAACAGCAGATCTATCGATCTTTCCGGGCGCAGGCTATGGCAACCATGCCAGGCGCACGCGCTCTTCTGTGCGGTCACAGAAGGAGTTGGCTTTCGCGCGGACCTGGACAACGGATGTTCCGCGCCTATACGAGAACACTCTCACAACACAGCCATCCGAAGATGTACGGCCCTGATATCAGTCCTCCTTCCGTGCCTCCGGAGCAAAAATCCCTGCACTGCAACACCAATGCCATAAGACCAGCAAAAATACCTAGTTTGAATCCACAAGAATTCTACACCTACGAGTATACCAATAACATCTTTGGAGCCTGGCGACAGCTAGGAGCTGGTAGGACAGAGACACTCTGGACCCCGACACATACTCTCCATGCGGATTCGAGAAATCTGAAGTTTCGATTTTTGGGTGGTTTTAGGGGTGTGGGGTTTTGGGGTTTGGAGATCTTAGGGGTTAGGGTTTAGGGCTTTAGGGGTCTGGGGGTTTAGGGTTTAGGGGTTCAGGCTCCAGGCCATGATCACAGAATAATCGCAGCCTGAAGCCCTAATACTAACCCTGTGTCCATTGGCTTTTTAACGGACCCCCCCTATTGTTGATTCAAGCTTCCGGCGCGAATGGCAAAACATATATACATGAATCCCTGTACAGAGTCCACTGATATGCGTCCTTTAATCCTTACGTCACACACACAGCATAAAACGACACTGACCCGACCCAACCCCAAACCCTAAACCACAAACCCTAAACCCCAAACCCCAAACCCTACACCCTAAACCCCAAACCCTAGATCCTAAACCCTAAACCCAAAAGGCTCACCAGTCGCTCTGGACCTTCACGACGACCTCCGTGCCGTCCTCGATGCCTCGGATCAGACTTGCTTTGACCCTCAACCCTTTCCAGCCCACAGGGTTCAGGGTTTTGGGACATTTACGGTTTAGGGCCGTTTAGGGTTTTTGGGTTTAGGGCCCTTTGGGGTTTTCAGAAGCCATGAGAAAGAAATGCTTTGAAGCTTGCAGGGTCTGTTCTAAACGCACCACTCTGAGGCTCCTGGCCCGAGAAAAAGAAGAAGCATGTGGGAGCTTCCGAAAATAGGGGACCCTAATATAGTACCCCGAATAGTAGGATCCTTATTCTAAGGACCCCAAAACAAGGTACCCCTAATTTTCGGAAACTCTCAAACCCTAAACTTTATAGAACCCCTATAGATCCCTTTAAGGAACCCTTAAAGGATCCCAACTTAAATCCCTTAGCAGAGCCCCCACCCTTCTTCCAGGACCAAACTTGATAAGACGGCAGGCGCTTGGCGAAGAGGATGGACATGCCGCTGTGGCTTGATGGCATGACCTGGGCGTGGTTTCGATGAACCCTAAAAAAACCTAGACCCAAACCCTAAACCCTAAATTTCGATGTGTTTCGATGTGGGTGGTTGTCAAAGTTAGGGTCCCTTTTCGGGGTACCCTAAATAGTAGGTGCCGTATTATGATAGGGGCACAAAAAGGGACCATAGTTTTGACAACCGCCCATGTCGATGTCGGAAACGAGACTGACGGATGGAGATGATGGCGATGATGGCGACTACGATGATGGTCCTTCTCAAGAAGTCAATGAGCACCACAAAGATGAGGAGGCTGATGAAAGCAAATAGAGCGGCGGGAGTGGATGTGCAAATCAGATTATGCTGACGATGACGATGATGATGATGAAGATGACGATGCTGATGATGATGCTGACGAAGAAGACTATGCTGAGGCGGGTATCGATTCAGATGATGATGATTATAATGATGTTGATGATGGTTATGCTGGAGATGATGAGAAACATGTCCTAGTCGTGGTCGATGCAGTCTGAGTCATACGCGAACTGCTGACACCGAAAGTATACATGGTAGTATGAGTAGTATGACGATTCGCTATGATACTCGTCTTGGGCTTATCTACATGGGGATCTTTGATCCCAAAAATATCAAGAACCGCTATCCCCTTACTAGTCCTGGAAGAAAAGGGGCCAAGACCCAGCTATACTCGACCATTCATCGGTACCCGTTGCAGGCGAGCACATATGGAAGCTCTATTAAAGCCGTCGGGGGTATCGGGCATGGGGTTAAGGGGTTAGGGATTTTATGGTTTAGGGTTTACAGGGTTCAGGGTTCATGTCATTAATTTCCCATATCATATCAGGACCTCTCCCCAGCATCGAGTCTTTCAGCGAGGCCAGGGCTCCAAAGAGTGCCTAGAAATCTTTTAACGCCCTAGGTGCCAGGAGCCTCTTTGGCGTAAGGCCTAAGGGTTTGAGGCTGAGGGCTTAGCGGGACGGTGGTCTTGTCATTCGGGTCTGTTTGGGAGGTTGTCGAAGTAAGAACCAGGTACTAACATGCTGCTGAACGCTCTATGATGGCGGCTACTCGTCGGACGTCGACCTACCAGGAGCCCACACGCTTTCCCCAAAGCGGTAGTGAGACTGGATGGAGTCCACGGCTTTGATTCGCCTGGCTTCAAGAACTCAAGAGAAAGGGGAAGCCAATGGCTAGGTCTAGCGAAACAGCCAATGCCCAGGCATCACCAGCTCCAGACCTAAACCTTAGAAACGAACACCCTCAGACTTCAGACTGCCGGCTGTTTTGAGGTTCTGCTGGATCGTCAAGTTCGGGGTGCGAGGGCCGTGATGGAGATAGGGTCAGCGGACGACGCTGTCAAAATGCTGGTGATGATTCAGGCCGTTCTTCAAGAGTTGCTGCGGGGCTGTAGACATTGGAAGGTACCACACAGTCTTGATTCTTGATAAGGCCTTGTAAGGCTCTAACGTTTCCGGAGAATTGAGCATTGTGAAAATACCGTTCCGAACTGTCCATCCGCTCCTGGGACATTTCACCCTACGGTCGGGTGCCTCTTCTTCTTCTCCTTGTTTGGCTCCTTCTTCGTGCTGATGGACAAAGGCGCGGCGCCCTGGCGAGGTTGGCTTTGAGACTTGCCCTACATCGCAAACCCAAACAATCGGGGGACTTTTCTGGTAACTGCAATTCGGGTATTCCCTTTCTGGGTTTCTTCCATACCGCTCCCATAGCTCTCCCATACAAAGCCCTACAGCACACCCCAAAATCCTAACCTTTTTGTAGACTTCTAAACCGTAGAACCTAAACCCTACACCAGGACCCTCACCCTATATACCTTAACCCACAAACCCTGAACTCAAAAGCCGAAACACTGAATCGACATGGGTACTTGGAGGATCAGGGGACTTAGTAAGTAAGAATATAAGTCCCCTAATTGGGGTTATAAGTAACTATAAGTATAGTTACCTCATTTATAACACTAGTTACTAAGTCCTATGATCCTTTAAGTAGGAGGCGGTCCGCGCGTGAACTCGAAGCCCAGGCCACTGCAAAGCCCGGACTCCCGGAGATTCAGCCCATGGTTATTTTGGGGTTTCGGAGCCATCAGCCCTCTGGGAAGCAACCGGAAGCTCGATAATAGAGCCTATCTCCATACATGCTCTGGTACCATATTTCGAGGTCCCTGCAAAAAGGGTCTTGGAAATTTTAGATGCTATGCCAGAGCTCCCTCTGAAACTCCCACATTTCTTAGCCCAACAAGGCCCCAAAGGCTAAGGCTACGGCATTAAATCTCAACCCACCGCGTGCAACGTTCTACTGTCAGTCTAATATAGTATAGAGTTTTAAGGTTAAGGGCTTATGGATTATATCATGATTAGGGCTTTGAGGTCCAGTACTTTGTTCTACAGGGCTTATGGATATTATGGTTTAGGGCTGTGCGGTTTAGGGCTTAGGGATTTCAATTGTCAAACCCCTCTTCGAGTCGCAAGGCCTTCGCTCCTGGAAGGGTTGGTTGAAAGCCGCGTCGTGCTGCAATCCTTAGTTTCGAAGGTACTACTGTTGATGATATAAATCCTGCATTACCCAAAAATAAGGAATATGCCATAAATCTCATAGGTTAGGGTCCTTAAGGTAATGCAGGATTTATCTCAACAACCGTGCAAGCGCCGTAATGATGAGAACCCGGGCAATCCTTAGTTTCGCCAGGTACTACACGTACAAGGGCCGTAATGAGTAGAACATGGCTCGTTCAAGAAATACTGTAAGGGCAATCTAGGTTTCGAAGGTATTACAAGGGTCGTACTGATTAGAACATGGTTCGTTTAGTATACAGGTTAAGTGCACGGAATAGTCGGAATGAGGCGCACCTGACTAGGATTGACAAGCGGGCTTACTGCAAGAATATCTTGGACCCCTGAGTAGCAAGCCCATCCCACTGATCATAGGGATCCAAATACTCAGGGCTTTCAATTCATCGGGGTTTATTCGTCCAGTGGCCTACATTACCGCGCCCTCCCTCCAAAGCATCCTCCCTCCAGGTCCGGCAAAGTCACGAGCTCGTCCCTCCACCAGCAGGTTTTCCCTGGTTTGAAGGTTAAGGGGTTAAGGTAAAAGCCAGAAAGTTGGAATATGATTATCCTAACCCTTCTATGGTAAATCATAGGGTATCCTACCCTGAAACCATATTCCAACTTTCTGGAGTTCCCTGTAAGGGTTTGGGATTTAAGGATTTTCGGGCTTCACGGTTTGGGGGTTTAGAGGATAATTGAGTGTATCGGGCTGAAGGGTTTAAGGCTTCGGGCTCGGCAAGGAAGATCTAGACCCAAGAGTAACCTAGGAATAAAAAGGGTGCCCTTTTTGGTTTAAAGGGGCTTATAAGGGAACCTGAACCCTAAAAAAGGGGAATAAGGGCCTACTCTAGGTCCTAGAGATGTATTCGGGATCGGGATCGATGCAGTCAGAGGCGACCCGACTCTGCTGATGATTCTCGGCTCCGGGCCGTCTATCGTCAACTACCCCAGCTTCGTACTGCCCTCGAACTCCAACAACCCTAAACCCTAAGCCCTAAGACCTTTCAAGAAACTTAAGCCCCAAAACCCACGATCCGGCTTAGGATTCAGTAAGTTTTCGGGCTTCGGGTTTGCTTTGATACCCCTTTTGCCCTTTTTTTATCTTGGGGTCTCCTTACTGAAACAGAATGGTAGGAAAAAGGGTACTCTTAGTATAATGGGGCTACTCAGGAATCTAGGTGGTAAGCTTCACTATTTTGAAGGCTGCTCGAGCCAAGGCCTTGTCTCAGCCCGTGCTTCCCAAGGAACATTTCAATCACCCATGACATGCTGGTGCTCTTTCTGAATTCAGCTGAGAAATGCACTTGATCCTTCGTCCAACTTCGACATAGTAAAGCGACCAAGGCCGACACAGTAGAAGCCCCTTACAGGTGGGTAGTTCTTCTTCCATAGTACTCCCATAAGACCCCCTTTACCTTATAGGAGTGGTATGGGAGGCTTATGGGAAACTACCCACCATGTAACTACCCACCTGTAAATGGCTTAGACACAGGCCCTGACAAGCTGCAAAGCTCTAATTATAGAACTCCGCGATGAAGACTTGCAATCCCGGAGCAGAATAGACTGTGAAGTTCTAGAGCAGGACGCCAGACATAACCCTAAACCCAAGACTCAACTGCGCCTAAAGCGCCCGACTTCCCACATCGGCCTTAGGCGAGGTCTCCACAGCACCGCTGAGCCCCCCCGCCTCAGCTTTAAGGTTGATCGAAGCAGGGTTTAGTTAGGGGTTTAGGGTCCGGGCTTATCGGGTTTAGGTTTTTTGCTTTTTAAGAGCTGCTCAAAGATTCCTACTTGCTTCCAGAAGCTGTGCAAAAAGTATGTAATGTCAGTATGAGCCGGGACATCAGGTTTGGCCGTTATGGTTTAGGGACATGTAGTGATGAGCCGGGACCAAGGATTCCAATCTTGCCGTGTGAAAGGTTTCCGCTTTTGGGCGGTGCTTTGGAATGCTGTCATTTGGGAAGGAGTGCCGGGCATTGACGCAGTGGAACCAACGACCACAAATATATCATGGGCCTAAGTACTCGAGAACCAAGAATCACCAGAGATACTGACCTGTCGAAGACACGACTTCCATGAGAATCACAAGCCTCAAGCTAGCAGTACTTCTAGCACATCGCCATGACTCTTGTGCTGTAGTTATGTCAAACGCAAACATATGTACACACGATTATAAGCATTGCCATGATAATAGCAGTTATAAGTGCTAACTTGTAAAGGCTACCACAATGATAGGGCTTATGCAAACTACCATTATTGCTGACATGCTGGCATTCGGCTGTGTAAGATCCGCAAGCTGACGACTTTCGATTCTTGCTTGCTTTGAATTTTCCCCAAAAAATGTCATGCTCGACGAAAACACCGCCATCCCCAAATATCATCTGGAACAAAACAACTTCTTCTCTCTCTGAGTGCATCTTGGTCGCTTCTCCCCTGAGCAAGGGAGGCTACATGGTGTTTCTGTGGGGACGACCTTCTCTTTGCATAAACGGGGCATGGCAGTTGATGATTTTATTTCAACGGCATTTAACTACTCGAAAGAGACATAAAGATCATGGGACGTTCCTATAGAGTCTATAGAGTCAACCAAACGCCCAAAGTTGCGGCATGCCCCGCAGATAGAAGGGTTTAGACTTCTGCAGTTGGGGCTGGCCGGAGTACTTGTACGCAGTTCGTGGGCGTAGGATATTGATAACCACTCACTATGTGAGAATGTGCCTAGCAGCCTGTCTTCCGAGGTAGCACGAGGGGGGCCGCATTTAAGCTTGGCAGCGCATGGAAACATGCCTAGCTAAACACTATTTTTGCAACCTCAAGTTCTGGTGTACGGTGTATGGCCGTTGGATTCTCTGTGAAACCTTGCCCACACTTTGCCTGAGAGTCCAGGGTTTACGGATTCACGATGGCATCACGTGCGCACAGAAGAGGTGTTGCTAAAACTGAGAGCACGCGATGGTAAACAAAATGAAAGCTAGCCCCAACCTCGGGATGAGTAGAAATCCGGAACGGACTCCTCTGGGTTGTAGTTTTGGGGCAAAGCTCTTTTCAAGGGTGCTGCGACAAACTGCCTCCTTGGCAGGAGGAGTCCAAATCTCAAACGCGAAGATCCATCCCCTAAATCCTAAAAAACCAAAAAACAATCAACCACACAAGCAGCGTTTGAGCCAAGGGCTTTGGTGATGCGGACCCGCCATTCGACTTGCCAGACGGCGTAGCTGGCAGCAAGATTCAAGGAAGGTTGTGCACTTAGTGGAGGTGTCGGGACTCTGCTACAGGGTTTAAGGTCTCAGCTATATCGACCCACGTCTGATACAGAGGTCTCTGCTACAGGGTTAAGGGTCTCTGAAATACCTACCCTTTGTCTGAGTCGGCCGAGCTGTCATGACACATCGGTCTTATGAAGCAGATGTCCAAGTCTGCTCCCAAACCACCAACCCTCTCGACTTCAAGCTTGCTAGAGGCCCATGCCCTAGTGGTGCATCAGAGGGAATCTGAGATTGAAAGCAGTTTGTGCACGCTTCGGCACTTCAGGACTACGGGTCTAGCCGGTCTAGCCACTAAAGCTCAGGATCTGCAGTTTAGCTTGGGACTTGAACTACGTCGTCTGCTTTGCAGTGAAGAAAGGTTTCGCAGTGCCAATGCTAAGAACAGCACCTAGCCAAGCTGTGAACCAAGGACCATCAACCAGTCTACATCGAGGAGTTGCGACTTGGGACCTCGGGCAACAGGATTCATGGTGATGATTCATGACAATGATAGTGAGACGAATTCCATACGTCCCGGCAAAATGACAACCCATGCCTCACTGTGGTTCCAAAGAGAAGCTCTGCTCGACAACCCCAGCCAACTCTCGGCTGATCCATACTCCTAGTAGAAATCCAGACAAAGACTTCCCGAACACTGGGCACCTTTCATTGTCATCGACGCTGAAGGCGAAGGCACTGTATCTGCCGCACTTGCCTTGCTTGAAGGATCATGGGACTTAGTAACTCGGGTTATAAATAAGGTAACTATACTTATAACCCCTGTTAGGGGACTTATAACCTCAGATGCTAAGTCCCCTGATCGTTTGGAGCTTGGCTCCCTTGTTCCTGATAGGGGAGTTAGGATTAAGGGGACCGCTGGGGATATAGATCCTCTCAATAAGGCCCCTTTTAAGAGAGCCAGAAGTAGGGTTCAGAAGGGGTACCCTTTAAGGGGTCTCCCTAATAAAACTACCTATAATAGGGAATAGGGGAAGGGATGCCATTCCTTCCCCCCCCCCCCGTTTTCCTACGCTTTCCAAGCCCTCAACCTGCAACCTTAAAGGCGACTTGTGTTGATGATATAAGTCCTGCATTACCCAGAATAAGGAATATGCCATAATTCCCCATAGTTTGGGGTCCTTAAGGTAATGCAGGATTTATATCATCAACCGTCGTAACCTTCATTAACTAACCAGTGGTTTTGGGGGTTCCCTTGGCTCTTCAGCTCCTTATTTAATAGGAATTATCATGATCCCTGGCTCCTTAGCTCCCCTAATATCAATGGTTAGTTAAGCCCCAAGTCCAGAAACCAGAAAACATCGGAAAACTCGGAAGCCTCCTCTCGAGCTAAGCAAGCGCAAAATAAGTTTCACCCGAACCCTGAGCTCTAAATCTTATAAGAGTCCCAAATACCTAGACCCCCAAAAGTAGGTAAAATATAAGAGTCCCAAATACCTAGACCCCCCAAAAGTAGGTAAAATAATGGCCCAAAACCTATAAAAGGCGATTATGCTATACATACTTTTGGGGTCCAGGTACCCACTATTCAAGACCAAAAGGCCTCTATGAAAGGGTACTTTGGGGGGGACCCTGAAGCTGAAAGTAAACCCCAAGCCCTGAACGATACATTCTCTAGGATATCTATAGGGCTCCTTAAAGGGGTCTATAAGGGATCTATAGTAGGGTTCTATAATATAGGGGGTTCATATACTAGGATACCCAGTAACCTAAGAATAAAAAGGCCTCTCTTTTTGGTATTGGGTAACTTTATAAGGAACCTAGGACTACAAAAAGGGAACAAGGGTACTACTGGGCATCCTAGTTCTGTGCACCACAGCGATCCGAGTCGAGCAGCAGGACCCTGAGTTGAAAGACCTGCCAGTCTGAGCATTGGTGCTGGTTTGGGAGCAACAGTGACAAGGATGCCGCAAAGCCTCTAGCTTCAAAGGGTCGCCTAAACCTTAAAGCAAGACCCTACTTGGAGGATCAGGGGACGTAGTAAGTAAGGTTCTACGTACCCTAATTGGTCTTAGAACTTATCACACGTATAGATACCTTATTTATAACCCTAGTTACTAAGTCCCACGACCCTTTAAGTAAACTCCCTCAACCCTAAGCCCGATAGACCCCATTAAAGAACCCCTATAGATCCCTTTAAGGACCCTTTAAGGAACCCTAGTAAAATGACCCTTTAAGTAAACTCCCTCAACCCTAAAGGAAACTCCAGAAAGTTGGAATATGGTTCAGGGTAGGATACCCTATAATTTACCTTAAAGGGGCTACGATAATGATATTCCAACTTTCTGGCGTCTACTGTAAGCCATAAGTCCCTCAGAGGATATCAGGGCACGAGGAAGAATTCCTTTAACTTAATTCGGGTACATGGGTAATTCTCTAAAGTAGGGTCCCTTTTTCAGCCCACCAAATACGGCTGATGATATAAATCCTGCCTCACCTTCCTGATCTTAGACTGTAGCAAATATTGATGATATAAATATAAATCCTGCCTTACCTTACTGATCTTAAACGATCGGAATTATGGTATATTCCTTCTTTTGGGGGTAATGCAGGATTTGTATTATCCTTACCTTACTGATCTTAAACGATAGGAAATATTCCTTATTTTGGGGTAATGCAGGGTTCATACCATCAACCGGAGTACTGCACCTTTACTATGAAAAAGAAGATGCCAAAAGGGGACCCTAATTTAGAGAACTACTGCTGCTGGACAAAATCCTGCATGACCCTAAGGACTCTAAACTATGGGAACTATGGTATATTCCTTATAATGGGTCATGCAGGATTTTGTCCATCAGCAGTACCAACATGGTGCTTCGGTCGGTAGGTCCATGCGAATCTCCCATGGAAAGCATGGCAACAACACCTTCCCAAAGGGTCCTAGGTACTGTTATGGGGAATACTTCCCCAAATCATAATAATAATTCCTAATATAGAAACCCTTCATTCTACTATGCAGGTACTTTGGACCCTTTGGGCTTTTGCACCGAACAGAAACACTTACA